ATAGAATCACAGAATACTAGGACTGGAAGGGACCTCGAGAGGTCATCGAGTCCAGTCCTCTGCCCTCACTGCAGGACCCAGCACTGTCTAGACTATCCCTGATAGACATTTATCTAACCTGCTCTTAAATATCTCCAGAGATTCCACAACCCCCCTAGGCAATTTATTCCAGTGTTTAACCACTCTGACATTTTCCTAATGTCTAACCTAAACCTCCCTTGCTGCAGTTTAAGCCCATTACTTCTTGTTCTATCTTCAGAGGCCAGGAAGAACAAGTTTTTTCACTCCTCTTTGTGACACCCTTTTAGATACCTGAAAACTGCTCTCATGTTCCCTCTCAATCTTCTTTTCCAAACTAAACAAGCCCAGTTCTATCAGTCTTCCCTCATAGCTCATGTTCTCTAGACTTTTAATCATTTGTGTTGCTCTTCTCTGGACCTTCTCCAATTTCTCCACCTCTTTCTTGAAATGTGACGCCCAGAACTGGACACAATACTCCAGCTGAGGCCTAACCAGTGCAGAGTAGAGCGGAAGAATGTCTTCTCATGTCTTGCTCACAATACACCTGTTAATGCATCCTAGAATCATGTACACTTCCAGCCAACCGTGACATTCAAATAGATAGGTTACTAGAGGTATTTTGTCCTAAGCATCTTTGAGTCATATATACATATTTGTATCCATAAGTCAATTTCATAAAAGCATGTGATGGGGTCCGTCTCAGTGTGTATATTTGGAGAGACAAGATAATACACTTCACAGCCCTGGGAAGCCCCAACAACGACCTCGCCGAGAGTCTGGGAACTCCACATGGTGTGAGTTGAAGAGCCCGATTCTCCATCGCCTCAACCTCATGCCATCATTTATACTTGGACAAAGCGGGCCTAACCACTACCAAGCTGGAGCTCTGTAGAGGGGGAGGTGCCTTGCACAGGTACAAAGCGATGGGAAGTCAGAACTGTTGGATCTGAAAGGATGGTTCAGCTTAATGGCTTTCCATGGTGGGGGGGCGGGGACCGGGTTCCAGTTCACAGGTTCCCTTTCTCCATTGGGTCGGCGCATGGCCATTCCCTTTCACTAAGTGAACGATAGCTTGGTTAATCCCACAGCTGCCTGACTCCCTCAGCCAGAGACATTGTACCCTACAGTTAACAATAAAGAGCATTCCCAAACTGTGGTCTGCAGAGAGCTGTCTGGCCATGAGGCATTGGCTCCTCCTCCTAAGATGCACTAGAAGAAGCTACAAATGCACTAAAAACTTCCCTAATATCACTTCTGTACGGAAACAACAGCTGTAGTTGGCACAAGACTATTGTCCAGGGGGCAAAGGGAGGTCAAATATCCAGGGAACCATGAAAGGCAGCATGGACATCCACAAAGCAATTTCTTTTATGTAGTGATCCACTCTATGTACAAATTGGCAGCCCTTTTGTAAAGGTGTGATGGGCAGCAATCACAAAACACGCGTTGGTGTTTCCCAGACTGCTGACAAAGCCACTGACATTCACCTCCTTGATCTCTGGGACTTCTCACCACCCTATCCTGCTGGGCCAGCTCACCTGGTCTCCCTCAGCCAAGGCATAGAGCTGAGATCACTGCTCCCCCCCCCCCCAAAAAAAAAAAAGCAATGCAGTTGTTGAATCACTTCAGCTCTGAGGAGAATGCAGTTTGAGGCACCGCATCCAGGAAATCAACCCCCCTCCAGATAAACCATTCAGGTAAGCCCCCTTTAACAATGAAAGGAGGATGTACATCCTGATTGCTCCCCCAGGTAACAATTATTTAAACTTGGCTTGATAGTAAATAAAAGTGATTTTATTAAGTACAAACAGTAGTATTTAAGTGGATGCAAGCGAAAATGGACAGAGCAAAGTAGATACAACAGAAAATACATAATGGCTGTGTCTAGACTGGCAAGATTTTCTTTGTGGAAAAACTTGCCAGCTGTCTACACTGGCTGCTTGAATTTCCGCAAGAACACTGACGATCTCATGTAAGAAATCAGTGCTTCTTGCGGAAATACTATGCCGCTCCCGTTCGGGCAAAAGTCCTTTTGTGCAAAAGGGCCAGTGTAAACAGCTCAGATTTGTTTTGAGCAAAAAATCCCCGATCGTGAAAATGGCAATCGGGGCTTTTTTGCACAAAAGCACGTTTAGATCGGCACGGAGGCTTTTCCGCAAAAAGTGCTTTTGCGGAAAAGCGTCTGTGCCAATCTAGACGCTCTTTTCCGCAAATGCTTTTAACGGAAAACTTTTCCATTAAAAGCATTTGCGGAAAATCATGCCAGTGTAGATGTAGCCAACTTGTTCTCACACACTAAAGCTTATTCCAAACTTACCCTAAAATTGTTCTTCTTTAAGCTAAACCTCCAAACCAGGGAATATCTTTTTCACCCTGCAGTTCCTGCCTATTTCCTTTGGCGTGTCCAGCCAGCCAAAGACAAAGAGTCTGAATTCTTCGTATGTTAAATAGCCTTCCTTTTGGACAGGAATTATTTGCTTCCACATTCTCCCCTTCCATGGAAAATTACCTGGTCAGACCCTACACCAACTGGGTAGGAACATGTCTTCCTAAGCTTAGACTTAAAGGAACAAAGGAAGCTGTTTACAGGTTATCATCCAGACACTGAGATGTCCCAGAACTGGAAACACCCCAGATGGCTTTCATTTGCACATTAAAAACCATAAACCATTCTCTACCCCATATCTCTAACTTTACATACAAGAATGATACAGACACCAAAATAAGATCTATAGATCCAGCCGATTGTGACATTCAAATGGATATGTTGCGTGAGGTATTTTCTCCAAAGCATCTTCAAGGTGTGCATATTTGTATCCATAAGATAATTTCATAAAGCGTGGGGGGGGAGGAAGGAAGGGGGGGAATCTGTCGCATAAGGTATGTTTGATGAGGTTACTGACAGGTAGCTAAAGGCTGCCTACCCTTTCTCCCCGCCCCAGTCTGGTCCCTTCAAAATGCCATTAGGTCAGGAAATAGGAGACCTGTTTGCCAAAGAGAGTGCTTGGGAGATCATTGAATTTGGTGCACTTGAGCTGAGTTAGGTGTCCATCTGAAACACAGCAAGCAACCTCACCCGGGCGCAGAGGGTGCAAGATGGAACTCTCCCTACTTGGCATCCAGCAGACCAGGTTTTGCAGACCTAACAGGACTCCGGATTTCTCCCACCTCTGATGTCCAGACCTCTCCATTCTCCTCAGTACTGGCAGTGGAATTGCCCAAATACAAGCAGCCTGGTTCTGCAGTTTTTTGGCTTGAGGATGGCAACTTTCAAGTCTGGACTGCAACTCACAAAAGCTTATGCCATAATGAAATTGTTAGTCTTTAACACCTCCTTGTTGTTTCTATCTGAAGTACATATTTGAGCCCCATTACCAGTTACCTGCACACCTCACAATTGTCGTGTTTATCCTCATGACATCCCTATGAGATAGGGAAGTATTAACATTCCTATGTTGCAGGTGCCCAGGAGGCTCAGGGATTTGCCCAGGGTTGCACAAGAAACCTGGGGTAGGAAGGTATACACACCAGGTATTCCAGGGCCTGAGCCATCACTTTACACCCAGAAACATCCTTCCTTTCTGAAAGATTAGGCTTAAGATTTCTGTCCAGCCTGACCTGATGTAAACTCTGCTATGCTCCTGCCTTTAGCAGCCAAGCTTTGCATGCGATGCATTTACAGGGAACAAGATCTGAATGAACTCAGTGAGGTTCTAAGAGTGGCATGCAAAAATGTGGCTCAGAAGCACTTGTCTGAGGCCTGCTGGGTTCCACATAGGCCAAGAAGAAGGAAGACACCAAGGCTCCAGGTCTGTGGCACCTGCTATGGTTTGTGGCACCTGCTATGGTTTGTGGCACCCTGGCATGGAGGAACCGGGTGTCTCTTATTAGATGATGCTCAACGAGCCCTGGAAGTTGCAACAGGGTGGGAAGCAAAGGGCGGCAGAGTGGAGCCTGCGCTTTGCCAGACTCTGAAAAGCCCCAGCCAAAGAAAAGCGCAAGGATCTCCACACAACTCCATGCCAAGGCCCAAAGTGCCTCATTTTTGGACCGGCGCTCACCCCAAGCTGGATTGGTGCAAAGGAAAAGGAAGGTCCTCCTTGCCAAGACACCACGATGACCCAAGCCAAGATGGGGAAGGAGAAGCAGAGCCCTCAGCATGCTGTAGGGCTAAATAATTGTCAGACTGGTGAAGAGGGGGCAGGAGGGGACCTGGATGCCACAGAGCCATGCCCCTTTGAACTGGCTCATGGCAACAAGGTGGGGGAGGAGGGTCTCCCGGTTTCTTCATGCCAGGGTGCCACAAACCGTAGCAGGAACTCCCACGTGGGCCCTTGTGCCATGGATGTTGCGGATCCTTTGACACCACAGGCAACTCCCAGGGTTATTTCAGTGCAGACCCATGGGGGGAGCCCTATGACGCCTCGCTGCCAAGACACTGGTCCCCACGCCAGCACCACGACACGAAAGGGTCCCCCGGACAGCGTGGTGCCATGACACCGCAAGCCAGTTGTGTGTGATGGGAGTGGGAGGAGCCAGGGACAGGCCCAGATTAGGGCCCTGCAAGCTGGACGGGCACAGACCAATTGCAAGTCCATCCTAGAAAGGCTTCCGTCTGCCTCTGGTCCTTTTAAACAGCCCCAAAAGAGGTGGGGGGAGAGCTCAGACAGAGAGAGACACGCGTCACGCTGAGGGAAGCAGGGAAGCCACTCTGCCCCTAGAGGTGCCAGCCTTTACACCGCTTTAAACAGGACTAGTGGCTGCTGAGTCTTTTGATGCTCCTACCGGTGCTGCGAGGCTCAGCCCTGCCAGCAATCTGCGTGCTTCCCTGTTTCTGCCAGGTGCCTCTCCTCCTGGTCCCCGTGTTTACAAAGCAGAGCTCGCTGGTGCCTCAGGAGTTAAGTGCCACAGCAGGCAGGGAGCGGATTCAGGTGGGTGGCACATTGCAGTGACTAGGCTCCAGCAGGAGGAGGAGGAGGAGGGAGGATGGAGAAAGAGGAGGAGGAGGTGGTGGGAAGCTGCTGAAAGCCAAGGAGAGTGGAGTGTGTGTGCTTACAAATGAGACGTGAGAGGGGGAAGAAAGATGGTCCCTCCCTGCTGCCTCCAGACAAGTAGCTGAAGGAGAGAGAGCGGGAGAGAGAGGAAAATTGGCTTGTCATCCTCTTTGAGAAAAGAAATAAAGGGTGTGTGTGTGCAGGGGGGGGGGAGATATAGAGCAGAAGCCTCCTCAGCTTTGGCTGGTCCATTACGCCAGCTGTGAAGGAAATTGCGGCCCCCCATTGTCTGTCAGCGCCGGGGCTCCGTCTGAACCTGATGTGTGCATGTCCATGTCAGGGGGTCAACAGGCAAATGACAGCGGCGCTTGGAGACCGGAGGAGAGTCCAAGGGTAAGTTGGGATCTGTCTTTATTTGGCAGCGGGCATCGTCGGTGCACAGCGGGTCTGGAGAGAGGGGGAAAGGATGGGGGTACTTGCTCATGGCTGCTTGGTGTGACAGCTGCCGACGGGGAAGTCTTGGCATCTGGAGTTGGGTGGCTGGTTTTTTTCCCCTCCCAGTGCATTTCTTTCCCTCTCTCCCTCTTGTTTCTAGGACAGATGCTAAATGCTGGGAAAAAAGGCAGTGGATAGGGAATGCTGGTGTGCATGGGGGGGACGATGTGGTACCTGGGTGTTTCAGTTGGGCTGTGATGAACAGAGAAGAAAAACAAGACTGAGGCAGGGCAGCCGATGGAAAGGCAGGTTTTCTGTAGCACAGATGTGAAGGGCCTGATTCTGATCTCAGTCACGCTGGTGTAAATGTGGAAACTCCACTGGAATCAATGGAGCCAGTAACCAGTGTAAATCTGGAAGAACCCCAGTGGAAGCAATGGAGAGGCAGTGGGCTTCTCCGGGTGTCAGTGAGATCAGAATCCAGCCTTGAGTAAGAACACCAAGAGGATGTGACCTGGCCAGGAGCCAACGTTTCCAGCACGTTAACCCTTCTGTGGCAGAGACAAATGGAAACAATTAAATGAGAAGGGAGAGCAGCTGAGTTAAATAACCTAGTCTGGTCCATTAGCCTCCCGCCCCACCCCTGCCAGCACAGGCTCAGCTGGCGGATGGCCGAGGGGAAAGTGGAGTAGCGCACAAGAGACAGCAAAGAAAAAAGTGATCCTCAAGCCAGCTCTTGGGATACAGTGGATGTTGATTATGGAACAGCAATGCAAATGTGCATTTGCAAAGGGGGTTCCCTGACCTGGGGAGCAGACAAACCACCCACCACCAACCCCCCAGAACCTGCAGAAATAAAAGCCCACCCAGATGCCTGTCTGTCATGCAGCCCTCCGAGGGGGAAGCAAGGTAGCTAGAGCTGAAGCCCACAGGTCAGTATTTAGCACAGACGGGAGCAGTCTCATCAGGCAGAGGGTTAGTTAAGCAAGGTGGGAATGTAGACAGGGTGTCTGCTCTCCTCTCCTGCCCCGTGGTATTGGCAGGAGGAACAGCAGGACAATAAAGATCTTGCTGTTTTGTTTGTGTATTTATAGCACCCTTTTCCACCACCCACGTCCCACGTACACATCAACCCCCCACACACCATAGAATCCTAGAATCCTAGAACTGGAAGCGACCTTGAGAAGTCATCAAGTCCAGTCCCCTGCCCTCATGGCAGGACCAAGCACCATCTTAGATCATCCCTGACAGGTGATTGTCTAACGTGCTCTTAAATCTCTCCAGTGATGAAGATTCCACAACCTCCCTAGGCAATTTATTCCAGTGTTTAACCACCCTGACAATCAGGAAGTTTTTCCTACTGTCCATCCTAAACCTCCCTTGTGGGCACTCCTCACCCTATACCTATCCCCAGGCTAAAAATCCCAGCCCTCTTTGGATGTTTTGTGACTCCAGCTTGCTAAAGCCATGCACTGTATAATCATGGGCTGAGCTGGGAGGTTAGCAGGAACTCTTGTTTTGAGCAGATTGATGTGTATTTGGTTTTCCTTTGCTATTGTGTCCCATCCTAGAACCACCCACTCCTCTTCCCCCCATAGCACAACTATGGTACCCTCCATAGTAACGGAGTCGGGGCTCAGGCTGCAGCCTGCAGGGAAGCAGGAAGGTAGCGGCCGTGTCCCTGGATGCTCAGTGTAAATAAGGCTTTGTGATTCCAGTGTTGCTATGCTCAGCAGTGACATCAATTGTCTTCTCCCTCCCGCTTCTCTGCTCTGCTGCCTGGACAATCACCGGGTCTCTCCCTCCTGCTCTGCCTCTCCCTCTGCACTGGAGCCTGGAGCAAAAATGAGCTTGTAAAGTCTCCGCAATTCCTTTCATTCCTCTAGCACCTGGCTAAGACTCCAGGAGTGATAGGATTCTGCTGGGGGGGCGGAAGGGGGAGAGAGTTTAGAGTCACGCCCTGGGGATAGAAGCAGATTGTCCTCCCTGCAATGGCAACAAGTGCTGAAGGAAAGAGGGGGGCCCTTTCTCAGCCTGGGTGTTGCCTCTCCCAGGGTGGGGTGGAAGGGAGAGGGCCTGAGGGCTGCAGTTATTAGGGGCCGTGCATTCAATAGAAGGAAAATGCACATTGTGCAGAAGGTCTTGCACAGGTTGGAGGCCGCAGGCCAGTGGAGATGACCCTCGGGGATACCATCTGTTCAGTTCCAGCATGTGCCCTCACCCGGGAGTGGAATGGGAAGGAATGATGGCGTGAGAACCTGCAGCTCCCCTTGGTCTCCAGCTTCTGGGCACAAAGGACTGAGGGGCCCTGGGGGCTCCGTGGAAGGAGGCTGCACAGAAAGTGCAGCAGGGATAACGGTGGGAAGCTCCTTCCCTTTCACCCCCTCACCCAGCCATGCTGGTCCTGAACCAACGAGGCAGAACCTTAATCGTGGGTTGGCAACTGAAGTATCAATAAGCTCCATGAGTTCTCAGGACAGGGAGGTTTGTGCTTTGGGTGGCTCCAGACACACTGTTGGCATTGAGCGACTGCTAAGCAAGTGGTGGTAAAAATACATGGCTCTGTGGGTCCCTTCTTCCGCTGGGGCAGGTGCCACGTAAATCTGAATCCGTGTCAGGAGTCCCACTGGTTTGTTTGAGATTGCCAGTTCCCAGGGCACAGCCCAACGCAGTTCACAGCAGTGAGAGGCTGGATCTGGCAGCCTTGTGGCAGGGCAAATGCCTTGCCAAGCCGGGGTGAGTTCTGCCTGCAGGCAGGCTGCAGGGTCAGCTCCTCTGCCTTTCAGAGATTGAGTTTTTACTCACGGCAGGGTCGTGAAAACAACTCTCCTGCGAGTGTCATGATCCTACCATACCCCCTTGCGCCCCAGGCCTGCTGCTTCTCTGCTCAGGGGTTCAGAGATGTCAAGATTCACTGATCTGTCCCCAGCTCCCAGCTCCCCACTCATGGATGGGAAACACAGGCTGACTCTATAATTGACTCCTGCTCTTGGCTTCCCCCCATAGGTTTGGGGGAGCACCCAGCAGCTGTCTCCTATTCCAGGCTCACTGTCCTAGGTTGCTCCATCTGTTCCCAGTCCTCCAGGTCATTGTATCCCAGAAATGTTGGGCTAGAATGGACTTCCAGGTGCAGCAGATGCAGGACTTCCCTGGGCTAATCTGGTTCTAAATAAAGGGCCGGATTCCCAATCCGTCTGGAACCTATGCCCCCTTACAAAAGGTGTGTCGAGCAATACCAACATAGAAGGCACTGATTTACTGACTAGGAGGTCATAGTGCACAGGTGTGTGAATGCATTTTGCAACCCCTCCCCTCTCACTTTTGCACTAATGCAAATGGCTGTCCAACGTGCAAGACAAAGGAGACTCTGACCCCCCCAAAGTGCACTTATCGCTGGGGAAAGGGAGCCCTGAAGCTGTTATTCAGCCCTAGAACAGGCACTCTCCTTGCTACCCAATTTGTCCAATAACTTCCGTCCTTGGAAAAGGGGCATTTTTGGGTCTGAAGTCTGAGACCTCTAACGTAGTTGTGAGTACAGTTAAATATCTCTGTTCTGCTAATAATCTCCAGGTTATTTTTGACAAGGGGATGTGTATTTCCTCACCCTTACATTTCAGTCCTGCCCCTTATCTTCTCCCATAGCCGTGTGGCTGTAATGTAGAAACAAGGAGATAGTCTATCGCTACTTGGGCGGGGAGGAGTGAGGGGGCGAGCCGCGATAACACCACTGCTCTTTATGAAGCAGCGTCATTAGAACCCTGATAAAATTCCACTAGCGCAAAGGAAATGAAAGGAGTGTGTTGAGTAGGACCCTTTGTACCCAGCCAGATCACATCTGATCTTGTTATGCATTACGTGGCACTGAGCCACCGTCTCTGTCACACGTGCCCGGAGATGTGTCCCAGTCCCAGGCAGCAGTGAGATAGCTGGGAGGGCGGGGGCAGGCAAGAGCTTGTATGCAGGATTCAGAGCTGTACAGCAATGCCTCTGCGTTCCACTGCATAGGCACATTTGGCAGGGTGGGAACCCTGCTGAGTGCCCAGTGGCCACCAGTGAAGGTGGCTGCAGAGGAAAATGAGGGCTGCAGCTTTGGGAATCTCAACACAGGAAGCAAAGGAGTTATAAGTTCAAGGGGAATATAACCAGGAGTCATCAGAGATTAGGAAAAGGGGAAAGTTCTACCTAAACTTCAGAAAATAACTTTGACAGTGAGCTCTATTCAGTAGCATAATCACCTCCCAGAATGAGTGGCGGGAGCTGCATTGCTTGGCACATTTAAAATTAGGCAGGGAAGGATTTCCCAGGGATAGACCCTTAACTGGTGAACATGGACTCAGTTCCTTTTATTTCAGTGGCACGATACTGACTTACCCCAGCTGAGGACCTGACTTCTATTCCTGGCTCTCTCTAATTGGTATAAATGTGTGAAATAACCCCAAGATCCATGAATTGGCCAGAGATGGGAGAACCTCGGAAGGTGTGGGGTTCAGTCAAGACAAATACCTTAAAGGCTGGGTGCACCTCTGAATCTCATGAGATTGCAGAAGTGGGCTGAGGGATTTGATTGCAGCAGCTTTTCTTAGAGGGTTTCCTATGCTGCCTTCTCAGCTGATGATGACCGGTATGGGGTTCTTTCCTAATGTACCATCCACTCTGGTGCACGGAGGGCTCCTCTTCACCCAGACCTTTCCCTATTAATTAAGTCACTGTTCTCCAGAAGATGGCCACCAAGCATGCACCTTGCTTGAGACTGCAAGTGGTTGCAAGAGTCATAGGCTATGTCTACACTCACGGCTTCTTGCGTGAGAAATATGCAAATGAGGCTAAGCATGGACTATCACTGAGACGCGTTTGCATACCTAATGAGCCACCCTTTTTGCAGAAGAGGCTCTTGGTCCAGAAGGAGCTGTCTACACTGCCCCTTCTTGTGCAAGACAATCCCTCTTGAGCAATGCCAT